TTGGAAACCATTTCATTTTTTTGACGAAATAAACTGATTAATTTTTTGGGAAGGTAGGCCCAACGTTTTTGGAAAGCTAATGAAAAATGTAAACAAAATTTATATTTAAATAATATAACTTTGATAAAACATCTTATATAGTTTCATGTGCATATGACTAATGTTCATACTTCACCGCCATATGGCATAGGACCACTGGACCTGCCTTTCCAAAAATTTAAGCTATCAATACAAATAAAATGTTTTTTGGATCATTCATGTTATACGCTCTGTTTTCTCAAAAACAGAAATCCAAATCTTCGAATCTTGATAAGAATCTTTTTTTTTAACTTCCCGAAGGAGAAGTTTATGTTTTCATCAAAAAATCCGATTCGCTAATTTTATGTTTTCTCGACGTTTCAAGCCATTCTGAATCGAATGAGACCAAATTTGGAAAAAGTATGTGTGTGTGTGTGTGTGTGTGTGTGTGTGTATGTGTGTGCACCAACAGATTTTTTGCCGTAAATCGACGTTTTCTCGAAAACGGCTGGGTCGATTTCAAAAATTTAAAAGCCATTCGATGTATCTCGACGAGAACTATTGTTTGTCAGTTTTGTGCGACGATCGGCCAAGCCGTTTCTTTATAAATGGCAGAAAAGTGAAAAAATTTTCGTCTACGTTTTAGCCCGCAATTCTGAAAATTCAAAAACCGTTCGGAAGATATTGGTTGGGAATCGTGCTGATTAGTTTTTGGTAGAGATCGGCCGGGCCGTTTTCTTGTAATAAAGTTTTAAAAAAAAAAATTTTGACGATTTTTATGATTATTTTTTTGACGAAAGATACCATAGTTTTCTAGGTCATACTAAAATATTACGGCCCTACGACAACTGGTTCAGCTTTAAAAATTCGTCAAAGTTTGCAAAAATCAGTATGGTCTTTTTGGCATTTGTCAAAATTAGACTTTTGATCGACGTTTTCTCAAAAACGCCTGAACCGATTTTAGAAATTTAAAAGCCATTTGATGTATTTCGGTGAGGACTATCGTTTGTCAGTTTTGTGCAACGATCTGACAAGCCGTTTCTTTGTAATTCGAAAAAACTTTTCGTACATATTTAAGCTCATCCTACCGAACCGATTTTAAAAAATCAAAAACTGTTCGAAAGATATTAGTTGGGAATGATGCTGATTAATTTTGGGTGAAAATCTACCGAGCCGTTTTCTTGTAATTAACTGTTGAAAAAAGTGTTAAATTTTCGTCGACATTTAAGCTCATCCTACCGAACCGATTTTGAAAAATCAAAAACTGTTCGAAAGATATTAGTTGGGAATGATGCTGATTAATTTTAGGTGAAAATCTACCGAGCCATTTTCTTGTAATTAACTGTTGAAAAAAAGTGTTAAATTTTCGTCGACATTTAAGCTCATCCTACCGAACCGATTTTGAAAAATCAAAAACTGTTCGAAAGATATTAGTTGGGAATGATGCTGATTAATTTTGGGTGAAAATCTACCGAGCCGTTTTCTTGTAATTAACTGTTGAAAAAAGTGTTAAATTTTCGTCGACATTTAAGCTCATCCTACCGAACCGATTTTGAAAAATCAAAAACTGTTCGAAAGATATTAGTTGGGAATGATGCTGATTAATTTTAGGTGAAAATCTACCGAGCCATTTTCTTGTAATTAACTGTTGAAAAAAAGTGTTAAATTTTCGTCGACATTTAAGCTCATCCTACCGAACCGATTTTGAAAAATCAAAAACTGTTCGAAAGATATTAGTTGGGAATGATGCTGATTAATTTTAGGTGAAAATCTACCGAGCCATTTTCTTGTAATTAACTGTTGAAAAAAAGTGTTAAATTTTCGTCGACATTTAAGCTCATCCTACCGAACCGATTTTGAAAAATCAAAAACTGTTCGAAAGATATTAGTTGGGAATGATGCTGATTAATTTTAGGTGAAAATCTACCGAGCCATTTTCTTGTAATTAACTGTTGAAAAAAAGTGTTAAATTTTCGTCGACATTTAAGCTCATCCTACCGAACCGATTTTGAAAAATCAAAAACTGTTCGAAAGATATTAGTTGGGAATGATGCTGATTAATTTTAGGTGAAAATCTACCGAGCCATTTTCTTGTAATTAACTGTTGAAAAAAAGTGTTAAATTTTCGTCGACATTTAAGCTCATCCTACCGAACCGATTTTGAAAAATCAAAAACTGTTCGAAAGATATTAGTTGGGAATGATGCTGATTAATTTTAGGTGAAAATCTACCGAGCCATTTTCTTGTAATTAACTGTTGAAAAAAAGTGTTAAATTTTCGTCGACATTTAAGCTCATCCTACCGAACCGATTTTGAAAAATCAAAAACTGTTCGAAAGATATTAGTTGGGAATGATGCTGATTAATTTTGGGTGAAAATCTACCGAGCCGTTTTCTTGTAATTAACTGTTGAAAAAAGTGTTAAATTTTCGTCGACATTTAAGCTCATCCTACCGAACCGATTTTGAAAAATCAAAAACTGTTCGAAAGATATTAGTTGGGAATGATGCTGATTAATTTTAGGTGAAAATCTACCGAGCCATTTTCTTGTAATTAACTGTTGAAAAAAAGTGTTAAATTTTCGTCGACATTTAAGCTCATCCTACCGAACCGATTTTGAAAAATCAAAAACTGTTCGAAAGATATTAGTTGGGAATGATGCTGATTAATTTTAGGTGAAAATCTACCGAGCCGTTTTCTTGTAATTAACTGTTAAAAAAAAATTAAGCCGTTTTTCATGAAACTTTTTTTGGCGATATACATCATGGTCTTATAGAACTTACTGTAATATTACGGCCTTACAACAGTTTAATTTTAAAAATTCGTCAAAGTTTGCTAAAATTATTATCGTTTTTTTTTTAAAGTAGGATTAATGAAGTATATTTTTTACACATTTTTTTTGATTAAGTCGATTATTTACACATTTCGGGAAGTTCATGTAACTTGCCTCAAGGCTAAATACCAAACCAACTAGTTTAATATTCAAATTGGTTGATCCGGGTTCCCGAAATGGTCGACAAATATTTGTATCCGCATACACACACATGCATCCAATTTTTCTAAGGCATGCCATAATTGTTCAGAAACCTTTCAAACGTAAAGTTGTGAAGATTTTCATTTTCGATTTTTTGCGATTACTATAACTTTCCGAACGAGAAGTTAATTAATGTCATTAGAATATCTTCCACTGCATGATCTTGTTTCATATAGGCAAAATATATTTTGATTGTTTTTAAACAAACGAATTATAAAAATGTTAAATAATATAAATTCAGCACATACATATTTACTGTTAGAAGAAAAATATTGAATGAATACTATTTTGAAGGGAAGCTCGATGTGAAAAACCATATCTGAACAAATCCGACATGAGTTGCTGTAAAGCAATGTCTATGTTATGTGTATGTGAATATATATATATATATATATATATATATATATATGTATATGCATATACTAAAGTGTACTTCGGTATTTTCCTTCCTTTTGAGCTACGATTTCCTAATCTGGCCTCGCGAGTATTTTCATCTATTTTCTATCCCGCGCTCTCTATTACGCGACTTTTCCAAGTATTGGGATACGCGATATATCTTCCAGTTTCAATATTACAGAAACCCAGGATTTTGTGAATATCCGACTCGTTTTATTTATATCTAGTACCATTTGCATGCAAAATATAGCGGTGCAGATATACGAACACAGGTGCAGTATTTTTGCGCATACAGATATATGGATTTTTGATGATAATACAATTGGTGTAATAAAATTGATGATTTTCGAATAAAACTCTTCATGGATGGAACTGAGTTCGTAAAATTGTTTGGAATTATTTTTAAATTCCGGATTGAAAAGGACTTTGGGACAGAAATACGGTTGTTAGAAGTTAATTCATGTTACGGTTGCGTTGAATCATTTCTAGAAACATTATTGAAGTAAAACTTCTTTGGGCCCAACTAGGGTGTAAATCCGTACAAATGCAACGGAAGTCTGTTACGGCAAATAAGATAAGATAAGAGTCGATTGCTAATGATTCGTCGCTCTCGATGATATCATTCGCTCTCGATGATATCATTTCTATACTGGTCCACTGTGATTAGTCGTCGCGTATGTGAATAGAGAACTGTCCGATATCAACAAGGAAATCGGCATAGATAAATCTTGATTTAATTAAAAATGCCTGAATCAGAAGAATATTTTACCCTGTCACCCGTGAATAATTATAATGAAAATAAAAAAAACAAAAGCAGCATTTGCGCCGTTTATGAATCATAAGTTTATTGGAATAATTTCTATATTATTCTTAGTTTTTATAAATCTTCGAAGTTATTGCAAAGGAAAATATTATTTAGGCAAAACAGATATTACAGCTGTTCAAAGAATGAGATTATATCGCCAACAAAAAAGTAAAAAAATACCATCAGTCAATAAATGTATGTTAATTTTAATTACACGAAGTTCTTCAAACACAATTGTTACATTATGAGTGAAGTTGCGAAAATAATATTTATTCGGGCGTTATTTAACATAATCTACTGTGAACAAATATTATAGAAGTTCTTATTCAGCAATTACTTCATTTCTCGAACAAAGGTTCATTTCTGAATGCTAATGACAATGACAAACCGATCATGTCATATTTGAAGGATGACTTTATCTACATTATTGTTTCTAAATATTATACATATTTTTAATGCTATTATTAATATGTAATTTATAATTTATCATTATATAAATGTGTATAATAGTTGACACTAATAAATATGTGCATCACGAGTGTTATCATATTACTAATAAACATTATTCAAAATTGTTATATGATGTATTTATTTTTATTTAAATACCACCTTGTACAGTAGAAAATAAGTTTTACTTCAATCGTCTGTGATTTTTTTTGTTATAATATATCATCAACTATGTTTTTTATGACTGAATAGATCTAACACACATTCCTGATTCATAATGGATTTTATTTGTTTTCAGAAAATGTGGCGGAGTGCAGCAATAACAGCTATAACTTTGGCAGCAATTCTACAGTGGCGTCTAAGTCTACCTACACCAGCAACATCATTCAGTACAGCTGATAATCCAACAGCTCGTTCAACATCTTTTCTGACACGAGCACTGACATTTCTATATTTACCAGCATTCAATTTCAAGCTTTTAGTACTACCAACAACCTTATCTTTCGATTGGGGTATGGAAGCAGTACCAAGAATAACTTCAATACTGGACTTGCGGAATGTGACGTCTTTAGTTTTTTACGGAACAATTGCACTGTTGGTTTATAAAGTAGGAATGAATCTATATCATGGAGACATGGTAAAAACTCAAGTGACAAAACAACGTAAAACACGAGCAAAAACCAAAAAATGCTTGTGTTCCGTCTGTAGATGTGAAGTCACCATTAGACACTCCAGCACATGCAGGGCTGTCAATAACAACAATGCACCATTGACATGTTCATGTGCAAAGGTTCCTGTAAAACCTGCACCAGAAGTTATAGAACCTGTTGTGTCCCGAAATGGGTTGGCTCTAATTGCCCTTGCCATGCTCATTGTACCATTTCTACCAGCGACCAACTTGTTTTTCTATGTAGGTTTTGTCGTGGCAGAGAGAGTGTTATATTTACCTAGCATAGGATATTGTCTGTTGGCCGGTTTAGGTGCCGCAGAAGCTTATGAACGTTTAAGCCATAAAAGAGCGAGGACTCTAATTATTAGTGTGTGTTTAGTGATATTGTTAGCTATGTCTGCTAGGACGGTCAGGAGGAATTTGGATTGGAGGGACGAAGAGAGCTTGTACAGGAGCGCTGTTGCCGTCAATCCGCCTAAAGGTGAGTCAATAACAACAATAGTGTTTTTTTGAACTCCAATTTTATGTACCCAAATATGCTTATATATAATTTAGGAGTTAAAAATTATTTCAGCTTGATATTATCTTGCCATAGATGTGCTGAATAAGACATTACGACATCAAGCGAAAGTGGAATTTATATTCACAAAATAGATCAATTAAAATTAGTCCTTTCTAGCCATTGTTGCATTTAAGCAAATTATATAATCAGTTTTTGATGTATTCTAATAAATTATGGTGCCAAATCTACGATAAAATAGACCGTAACATACCATTGTTATGGCAACGCTATTGTATGTACGTATTTAGTCTTTTTCGATATTTCAGATTGTATAATTTAACCCTTGTAGCTGTGGGTTGTGTGAAACACTGATTTGTTGGTATAGTTTATGCACATGTTGTTACGCAGACTTTAGTTTTAGAAGTGAGAAAAAATAAGTCTGATCCAAATTCGGTACCCACTCTACAGGAAAAAAAAACTATCCGGTGTAAAGATGTGGCCTTCAAGACCAATATAATAAAATGAAAATACACCAACCAGCTATGCAACGCCATATTTTATATACAATAGTTTTCAAGCAGGCGTTTTACACATGATACCTGAGTTTACGTATAAATAGATCATTATAAATATTGTAACATTGTCTAATATTCATAAGAATTATATAAACTGAATTAAAAAGTTGAAATTATTCATTTAAAGTATATGAGTGAGCTTCAGAATTTTAGACAGAATTAAAACTAAAATCTGAATTATTTTCAACACAAAAAAATGAAAAAAAAAATTGAAACATTTTTTTCCAAAAGCAAAAATGTCAAAACAAGCAAAAAGTTTTTTGAATAATAGCAAATCGGATGCTTAGTTCCTTCAATAACTGCAATTCTTTGCACATTTAACTCGGTATCCCCAAAACGGCTGGACCTGCTTTCGCCAAAAACTAAACACCACTTCTCCCCGTCATTACGAATTGAATGTTTTTGGATCATTCAAATCGGATGCTACGTTGTCTCAGAAATTTGATTTCTAATTTCAGCGTTCTTTGCTCCGTATCTCCAAAACCGTTGGATCAGCCTCTGCCAAAAGCTAATCAGCACATCTCCTTATCAATAGGAATCGAATGTTTTTTTAACCATTCAAATCGGTTGGTCCGTGCGCCCGAAAACAGGCAAAAAAATGCGAACATACAAAATACACATGAACACACACATATATCCATTTTTTCCGAGGTATGCCAAAATGTTCAGAAACCTTCAAAATGTCGAGAAATGCAAAAAAAAATTCATTTTTGATTTTTGGCCCATTACTATAACTACCCTACGGGAAGTTAATAAGACTAGGTTGCTATTTCTATTGTTCTGTCTATTGGTTTTACTATTGTATATTGGTTTTCACTATTGACGAACATGTTTGTTATATATAGAACAAAACAAATTATTCCATATGACAAAGTTAACTATCTACGCATTTCAATAAAAAATATTTTGTACCAGTAAAAATACTCCTTTAGTACAATGATTTTATCCGGAATCAAAACAACATGACTTGCCGTAACATAATGCACTGTTCGCACATTCTTAAATCCATATGCGATCCATAAAACGATACACTTCTTTCTCGATATTATTCAAAATGAAACCTCACCATATTTCGATTTGAAAAGATGCCAGACATTAATTCCGGTCGATTGGTCCGGATCTATCCTTTATTTTCCTATAAGGATATTTCATATTCTGTCATATATGTAGTCAAGCGTCGGCAAGTGGCTTTTGAACTCGCAATCAGATACGCCTTAATAACGCCCTAAATCAATACTGCATACGAATGTCGGATTAATGGAAATTTTATATTCGTCTCGGAAGGCACTGGACATGGCACGATGGGAAAGACGAAATATGAGGAAAATATCTATATATTATAGATATAACGGAAGATTGGGGTGATCAGAAATTCATATCATATAAAAACACGATACTATATACATTTGTCGAAACGAATATAATTACACAATATAGAATAAAGCAGCAGGGCAAAAATGTCTTTCTGAACTGAGAAACTTGACAATGTTAAAGATCTCAACACAATTTTTATTATTTGTTTAAGGGGGTTGTTGGGTTTTTATTTATTTTTTTTCGATTTTGGGATTTTTTGATATTATGAAAGCTAAAAACCTTAGAATTATTTAAAAAAAAATCATCTTAATATCTATTTTTTTGACGAAGAAGTTATAGATATATATATCTCTGTATGTATGATCCTCTGAAACCGTTTTTGTCATCGCTCCGCGAGCTATTGTGTGCCAGCTGCTCTCTTTTTCATTATAATACCTCATGCACATGACCTTTTTAATGTGTCATTATCTTTGAACACCATGGTGTATTTAGTACATTAAATTAAATTGTGTATTTAGTACATTATATTAAAAACTTTAAATACGTTTTTCTCAAATGACTTTTTTCAATTCGGTGCCACAAAATTGAAAAAAAAGTACTACAGGTCGGATCGACTCTATGATAAATACATTTCGAGAAAAACAAAAACAAATACCTTGCAATTTTGCACAAAAAAACGAACAATCACCTTAAGAATAAGGTATGGGTAGCAATACAATACTAAATTTAAGATTTTTGTGCATTTGCTACGTTTTTTGGCAGCCAATAAAATATGTTTATTTATAAATATACTAATAATATAAAATAATAATATTGATTTAATATGAAATTTTCCTTATATAAAGAGTATTCTACTAATTCAATACACATCATCGAATTTTTGGCCCTAAAACAAAGTACTTAGAATGCCACTCCAGTGATTGGCATCCAGATATGAAGGTAAAAGATCATAAGCTTACTTTAATTTTATAATTCACTAAAAAAAATCCACTATTGAGACGAGTAAAATACTTACATGTCTGTACGATCATACGAGACAAAAAATTTATTTTAAATAAATGTAATCATGAGAAAATTAGAACAACATCTTGATAGATTCACTATATCCGTTTCTAAATTAAATTATTTTTTATAAAAAAAATAAATGAAGAAGTTAATGCCAGTCATAAGACTTGCGTTTGTCAACGCTTCTCTTTGGTGATGACCAATCAAAATGATTTGAAAAATTACAATCTGTCCAAAATATTTAATTATGACTAATCATGGTTAAAGCAAAGAAATCAATACCTATATGAAGATTCATACTAAAATCGTAATTGGATCCAACAATATACAATTAGTGACAGATCTTATATCAAGTATTTCTAAAATAATTTTTCAAATAATTTAGATTATACTATAAGTAATATTTAAATAATGAATAATATTAAGCTCTTTTAAAATAAGTACAAATCACCATCCTAAATAATGAGACAAAGATGTATCAAATATGATTTTGATTAAATCATTTACTCTTTTAGAGTAAGGAGTAACAAGTTTTAGAATACTCAGATTTCACACGTTTATGTATTAAAGTAGTGATAATATAATGAAATTCAAAATAATAGATTTATTTTTATTTTTATACAATAATATATGACAAAAAATATATCTATATAGAATTCAGATTCAGATACAAGAAATGCTTCAGTAAAAGTAACTGAATTGCAGAATTCTTTTCCACAATCATCTTTCATATTGTCAAAAGCAGAACATTTTTGTTAAATGAATTGAATGCAAATTTTTCCATCGAATGAAATATTCATCTAATTTTTTTTCTACTAGAACTTGTTCGATTGTACAATGACTTGTCATTTAAAAAAAGGTATCGATTTTATCAATACCATTCGTTTAACTCCGCAAAACCAATTAGAGTTCGAGTACGCGAACGAAACTTCTAATTAATAAAGAATTAAATGAAACTCGAATAAATAAAAACTCGCAGAAAAGTTTGCGATTAAAAATTATTTCAATTATGCAGCCATTACAGAAAAGCCTTCTTAAATTAATGCAAAGCAAAAGTTTTTAGCGTTGGGTTAATGAAATAGAATCGTAGGAGCTTTTGATGGATATGAATTTCATTTCATAGAAAAATTTATTATTAAATATTGAATATTGTAATACTAAACTTAACTAAATATAGAGCAGTAGAAGTTTTTGTGGATAATTCCAAAAATATAAGATATTCAATAACGTGAAATATTTCATTCGTTGTTGTAATTTTTGTTGTCTAAAAGACGCAGCAAAACTATACGTGCTATTGCAGCAGCTTTCAGATTAGTGTTTTTTTTTCTAGTATACGATTTGTATAAAATCGTAATAGGTTTTAAGTGAAATATTACATATAGGAAAATTACATAGATTTTTCGATAGTTGAAAACAATTACTTTACTAAGAAATAGTTTGACATAACAAATTTCAAAATCAATATATTTCAAGTAAATCGAGACCAATTAAAGTCGTTTAAAGTGTTTAAATTGTCTACTCATAAATTTCACTGAATCAATCGATGACAATTTTAGAAACTGGAAAATTATAAGTTTACTAGCAGAGAGATCTCGACCCATCCATAACTGTGCAACATCATTTTTTTTATTTTTTCCCATTTGTTATAAATTGATTAGATCGTTTGGCCCAACTTTTATGGGAACCGATTAGTTCATAACGTAAATTACAGAAATTATAGAAATATTACACTTTTTGCCGATTATGCGCCTAAGCCTTAAGGACAGGTATAATTAGTGGCTATAGCAGACCATTAGAAGTAGATGTTTAGTTTAAAATGTTCTGTTTTTAGATAAAATGATACGATGATAAAGATTGATAGATGATGTAATATGTTTAAGATAATACGTGTCAATTAGATGAAGTTAGAGATATTACTAATGCTGCTTAGATGAGCATTGTAATAGTATTAAATTAAAGTTACTAATAACTATATATAATTTTTCCTATCGGTTAATTTTTTGGTGTAAGCGACTTTTCATTACATTCCTAATCAATCAGCTTTTGATCTGTGATTTAGTTAGGTCGAGTTCAAGGAATGTGAAT